ATGTAAACCAAATGAGCAATCTAATTCACAAATTCCATATTTGAGAAGACACTTATGTCCCGTTTGGTACATGAAATTCAAACTGTGGAATTGAAATTAAGGACTTCAAATCAAATTCTAATGTTTGGTAGTACAAAAATTATGTGAATTTAGAATTGACATTGCAAAAAATGAATTGGAATTGGTAAATTCAACTCTATGGAATTTGAATCCCATGGAATTTCAATCTCATTTCAATTCCAATTCTATTAATTTTGTATACCAAAGGAGCCCTTGGAGCATATTTCAATTCCAATCCCATCTTCTGCCGCATCAGCATATTTCACAGTTTCAAATTTTTAGAAAACCTAACAGATCACGACCGAAAACAATACAATGGACAAAGCCCATGGAAACAAAGATGAAGATAAAAGTTTCAAAATCGTGGAAAAACAAACAATAGAAATCACCCTAAATAAGATTCAAACATAGAAATAGAATTTTCATGTTTTTATTTTTGAAATAAGACTTCGTACTGTGGTAATGTCACACTGTACATGTGCACATTACTATAGTTTTTGGTAATGTACATGACCATGTTTGGTAATGTAAATGCATTTTAACTCCTATTTTTAGAGAGAAAAAAACTTGAAAATCCTATTTTGACATATTTTCAATGTTTTACTCCTACTTTTGTCTTTTCCCAACAAACAATGCCCCAAGTTCTCATTATTATAGCCCCTGGAAGAATTATTATTACCCACATCTTAAAAGCAGTGGAGAAGCTAAATGAGTCAAGTCTGCAACATATCCACAACAATTTCTCAAACCAACCACTCCAAAATTCTTCACATGTAACAAAAAAACACTAGAGAAGTTGAATGAATGTAACAAACACTACCCAGCTAGGACACAGCTAAGAAAAAGTCTGTACATGTGCATTAGTAATGCGGAGGATAGCTTCCAGGAGGCCCCGGATAGTGACCTAAAAACAAAGTGGCAGGAAATCACAATTAGCTTACACTCAAATCAAACTTCAGAAATTGATGAAGTTATGGATAGGCACCTGGGGGGTAATATGGTAAATTATACGGTGCTGGAGGATATGTTGGGGGAGGATATGCCGAGGGTGCACCATAGGGTGGTGGATACGCAGATGACTCAGGAGGCAGTGCATAAGCTCCCGAAGGAGGGGCGTATGAAGCATAAGGGGAGGGTGGGTGATAAGGTGGAGGTGTTGGGTAAGAGGTAATAGGGGGCGGTGTGGTTGGGTAAGGAGATGTCATATAGGGAGGAGCAGATGAAGCATAGCTGGTTGGTGGCTTCTGAAATTTACATATTCATATCAAAAAGCACCAAATGAGTCACACATTGCAATAGGTTTAAAGAATATTTAAGCAAAAGAAAAGAGTTCTCTTGCCTTGGCATTTGCATAGTGCATTATCAACCGGATTTCTCCTGCATTTCTGTTTGAAGGAAATATAAATGCAACGATCAATTCTCACCACATATTGTTACAACAGCACAAACACAATAGATTCTCACAATAGTAGAGTATGGGGAGGGTGTGTGTGTGTGTATGCAAACCTTAACCCTACTCACAAATAGAGTGTTTCCAAGAGACATTCACCATATTGGTACTAGTCAAATAGAAAACGATAAACGTTGGAATTTACAAATGACTACAGTAAATTAGCATTGCTACATAGTTAGGACTCCTACTTCTGCCATCATAAGTTGTGGCCCTTAGGTCATGTAACAAAATTCCAACATATCAACTCAGGCTCCCTTCGTGTTTCACTAGGAATTACTCATAAATTCACTAGTAATTCACTTTTTTTGTGGCCGTGGTATTGATTTGCTTGTAATATCAAGCCTAAAATTGGCGTTGACATAACTTAAACCAAAACACGGGACAAAATATCCTGGCCGAAGGACTCAGAGTGGAATTTCTCTTATGATGACATCTACACCTCATGAGACTCTAACGAATGTCTAGGATTAGGGTGTTAGGATAGATCTTTGAGCCTAAGTTTGTAATTTCTAAATGTGTGCTGATTTGCCTTATGTGTGATTTGTTTTTTATGGGTCTTTAAGTTGTTCATGCTACTTCTCTTTGCTATAGCTCTTCTAAGTTTTGAACCAGGATCCCTCGACAAAAGACTCTATTAAGAACATATATTCATTTGGTACCAATCCGTATACCTTCCGGTCTTCGTTTGGAGTGGCCAAGAGCTATCATCATACCCTTCCGAGAGAACTTTGTTCAGTATAACCCTAAAACAGCAGTTGGAACTCAATTAAGAACATACAATCATTCAGTTCAAAGCCTACAGATCATAAACAACAACGAGGGATTCATTGACCATTACTTTCCACTGCCAATGAAATCGTCGTACGTAATCGTATTGCTGTTCCAGACAACAACATTCATCTCCCTCAGACCTTCAATCAGCGAAAACACGAATTTCTCTTGGAACATGGGATTCTTCCCCCCATCTGTGCAACAACGGATCAGAGAAATTTCCAGAAATTCGCATCAGTGTTTCCACGGATCGGAGAGATTGAAACGGAGAAGAATGGAAGAGGAGAATCACCTGTGCAAGTGCGAGTCCGGAATCTGGTGCTGCCGTACTCGAGAGACGCGTACGGGTCCTGCCTGGAGATCCATTCCGTGTCCTTCAACTTCTGACAGGACACAACTGCAATTCAATCCAGCCATTGCAGAAATCAAAATCCAAAACAAGATTAAATCAAGTTTTTTTTCAAGGGAGAGAAAATACCGGTGACTTCGAGGAGTTGGCCATGGATGCAGGAAATCGACATAGACGGCGAAGAAGGAATTGGGGTGTGTTTGCTTGGCGACGGCGAGATCCGATTTTATGCATAAAATTACTACGGTATCCTCTATTTACATTCCGTCCATTTTACAAGCTACATTTAAAAGTTTCATTTCTTTGATAGACAATACTCTTCGGACTGAGGGAGCATTTGTCAAAATACCAAAACTTTTAATCTTAATGGTCAAATAGACAGAATGTATCCAAAAAGTAATTACTACTCCCTCCGTTCTATAATGATCTTCCCAAAACACTATTCCAACTTCACGGGAATTTATATTTATTTGTGTTTTTTCATGGCCTATATGATAAAATAAAATATTCTTGTCACCACTTGTTTTGTTGAACTTTTGGTGTAGTTTTTAAATATGTATGTTTTATTTTTTATTTCTATACCAATATTTAAATAAAATAGATTGAAAAAACTTGGGATTTTTCTTCGTTTTGCAAACCGGGAAGATCATTATAGGACGGAGGAAGTACTAATTTTAAGAATCTCGTAGTATATTTCAAATAATGTGAGACGTGATAGTTCTTATCCGAAAATCAAAAGTGTCTGAGTATATTTCATATAATGTGGGACCTAGGAGTCATTACCAGAATATCGAGCGTACCCTAAAGGGGAATTGGGAGTAATTCTGATAATTTTCTTATTTAGTCAGCTTTCGGGTAAAAAATAAATCGGGTCATTTTTTTGTCAGGACTAATAAAGATATATGACTTTTCTACGACCTAGAAAGAATCTTTTTTCAAAGCCTCAAAACCAACAAACAACATTCTAAATTTAGGAGCACCCACTTGAACTCTACGTATGTCTTGGCCTTTCCATATGTTTCTAACTGCAAATTTAAGGATGGTGTTAGGACAAGATAAATGTAATGTTGCCATATATATAGGTAACTTCTTATAGTGCTCTTACATTGACCCATGAAGCATTCTATAGTGCACCTTGTGATGATGTACTTGAATTTTTCTTTTACAACATCATAAATTTCTTTTGCTAGCCAATGTACGTAGTTTGGCCTCAAAAACATCTAAGATTTCTTTTACTATCCATTTAGAACCAAGTTGGCTATGATTTTTCATGTCTCTATGACAAGCATGTGTCATTTCCACTCTTTCACCACATACACACCTTTTCTAAAATGCCAAGAACCTATTTTTTAGAATGGACATCCTTGAATACACCTTGCACCTGACCTTTCGTTTCTATTTTTGTTGCTAACATTAAATACAAGGTTTCTCCCTTAAAATGTTATACACCTTCGCACGGCATCCCTAAACGATTCCCTATTAGGAACCTCATTTATTGTTGCCAAATTTTAATTCTGAAAAATCAATGTGTGCATCTTGGAGCTTGTGTCTTCTACATCTTGTGCACTTCAATAGAGAAAAATATCCGCATGAGCACAATTAAGCTTGTGTCTTCTACATCTTGGAGCTATGGCTTTGTACTGATGTGTCTTCACGGATAACTTATTACTCGTATATGTTATGTGTCTAATTTGGAGCGTGGGTTTCTTAAGGATAATTACATGGCAAAGTTAGCATTTAGATTATCCATCGTGTAAAGCCATGTCAAAGTCTTGTTAATGCAAAGTTAGCGTGAAGACACAGGCCCAAAACGGGTAAATAGGGAGGAAGTTCGGCTTATTATACATCAAAGAGAAACTTAGTACTTAATTTTGAAAAACGAGTGAAAGTTAGGATTATTTTACAATACTAACTTATATTGTAAGCCATTAATGTTGAGAATTCTAAAATATATTCTTCAACCTATAAATATATTGTCTTGTATTCCTCTCTCATTATTTAAGCAATAAAGCATTCTATATTATTTTACATGATACTAGAGACTTCAGTTTTGGTGACCTAACAGTGTCCTAATTATGGTGACATTTAAAATGCATTTGATTTCAAATTCAAGTCTAATTTGTGACCTGTACTATTTAACAAAAAAAATTGTTCCATATATTTTTTTAGAATCATTAGTATAAATAAAAAATCAGAAAAATAAGTATAAATTTCTTGTAGAATATTCCATCGATATAATCCAAAATTTTGGATATCTGAAACTCAGGTATCCGATAATTTTTGAATCAAACATGGAATAGATAAATACTAATCCGAAAATTTTGGATATCCAAAAAACCAGATCGGATCAAATATATCTAGATGAACACCCCTATCCCCCCAGGGCATCTCATCTCCAGCGCGCGTCAACCTTCTTCCACACCTTTGACGTCAGCAACATGAGTTGTTTGCAACGACTCTTTTCCTCTCCTTCTCGACACCGACACATCTCTTTTTCAACAATCTTATTTGAAGATATGTCTTTAGTTTCTGATTGCGATTCTAGACATGATGCTGGGCATATTTAAAAATAATGTTAGTCAAACATTGCAACATGCAATGGAAACTTTATTTATAGACGGTGGAAGTATTAAGTTAAGACCCCTAAACCCTTCATCCTAAACCCTTCACTTCTACCCCTTACAACATCTCTTCTTTACCAAAGTTTTGATAGCCAAGTAGCGAAGGATGGAGCGGAGTAGGAGTGGGGGTTAGGTAGTGGTTAAAGAGGCAGTGTAAGAAGCATCAAATTTCTGAACGAAGCACTATAAGTATCTAGTGTCGCCGTATGACACCGATCTTCATTATCACTAGAACCGTTCCATATATACATAGGTAGAATGGCGAGTTTGCCCAAAGTGTGACGGATTCGTGCTACGTGGCACAATTTGGGATGGGATATACAGCTTGGACAAATTTTTTTTTAAAATTCAGGTATCAAGCTTAAGAAGTATGTTCAAATTTGATTCAAAGGGGTATAATATGATTTTTGAAACTGCAGGGGGGGAATGTAGGAGAGACTTTATACACATAATTGAACAAAAACATTTCACCATTGGGCATTGGCAACCTAAATGTTACACATTTTTGCTACTATATTTAGATCTATATAATACAGTCCGCAGTAATTAAAGGTAAAAAAGGGAAAAAATTTTACCGCGGAGGCGCAGTTCTTCAGTCATCCGCCATTGATATGGTCTTGAAGAAGAAGAAGAAGAAAAAGGAGGAAGAAGACGACCCCTATGAACAGAATCTGTTTTCCTTGGCTTCGAGTTTTCCCACCGCATAATGCCCCAACTTTCCAACCGAATTTACGAGATTGCCCCTGCACAGGAACCGCTCGCTGCTCACTCTCTCCACCTCTCGGTCAATCTCGTGCACGAACACCTGTGTCTGGGCGGCGCCGCCCCTCTTGCTCCTCGCCAGCACGCCGGCGGTGAATATCGCCGACATTCTCCCCGGCGCCGACTGCGAGTACCCGCGCGGCCCGTCCACCAGTATGACGTCCCAAGCGACGTCGTACAGGTGGTTGGGGAGATCGTTGATGGCCAATTTGCAGTCGGAGAAGAGCAGATTCTGCACCGGCCGGCAGTCTCGCTTCGCCTCCTCATCGGCGTGCTTCAACAGGTTCCGGAATTCGCTCACCCTTGTCGTGAATTGGACGTCGTACGCCTCGATCCCCGGGTTTTTCTCCTCCAATTTCGACACCGCGTACGCGCTCTCGTCGACGATCACCGTCCGGCCGTTGTGGTTCAGGGAGTTCCACAGCAGGGTCTCGTGGGTCAACCCGAAAACGAGGAAATTGCAGGCGTACCCGCACCGCCGGAGGGAGGCCACGACGGCGCTCACCTCCGGTGACGACATCCGGGAACCCACCGACGTGGTGTTCAGGGTTGCGTAGTACAGAAGCGCGTCGATCGCGGGCTGGGGCAACTGCGGCCTCGCTGCCTCCGCCGCCGCGAGGGTCAAAGCTCCGGGAACGGCGTGTTTACCGGAAAACAGAGAGAGGGCGAAGCCGAAACCGAAGAATGCGGCGAAAACGAGGGCCAGAATGCGATGAGAGGAGGAGGGGACGGCGGGGAGGCCCTGCTTGTGGAGGGATGGGTGGAGAACTATGAGCTTTGCTCCGGTCTTCATCTTCCCGGCGAGTGCGGGACGAGTTGACTCACTGGGTTTTTTTATCTTCTGCCTTTTAAATTCGATCTGTCAGGCTTTTCCTTTCTGGCATTTCGAAATTTAAACGGCGTAACCAACGTGTTGATCTGGAGAGATGGGTTTGGGAAGATCGGACGGTGGGTAACGTCGTGGGACCGTTTATTGTCCCGATTGGTGGGACCGACCTCTTACTGCTCTGAGCTACCTTAATTATTGTGGACTTGTGGGATGGTATTTCTAGAATAAAATTATTGAAAGAAAAATGCTAGGAGTACACCAAAAGTGTACCCAAACATCTCCCACTCCTTCCATAATCACATAAAAAGGCAAGTAAAATTTTAAAAAAAATAAAAAATAAAAATAAGATAAAATAAATGATAAAGAATGAGGTGGTGTACATTTGGGGCACATCTTTGTTGTACCCCTAGCATCTCCCTTGTTGAAATGTACCGTGCCGCTATTGGCCCGGAACCGGTACCGTCACCGTAGCCAAACCGCATTTGGGCTGGTTTGAGTCACTGATACTGTCACTGTGTTGGTTTTGGAATCGTCTGGTTCGAATCAGAATTTTTAATTAAATAAAAGAATGAGCATCATCATCTCTGAGGATTTTTTAAAATCCGATCAGATAATAACTAAGAGAAAGTAAATAAAGATATCTCTTAATTGTTTGTTTAAATATAGGTATTCATTTTATAATAATAAAAATTTGATGCGAGTAGTACATATATATCAATAGAAATCATTCTGAATACGAGCAAAATCATAGAAAAAGTACTCCTACTTTAGATTTTTGCAAGTATCAATTACGCTGGAGGTAATTATGTTAAACATAAGGCATCTGTAAGTATTAGGTGCAGACTTATTTCCTACCATCAATATGCAATTAAATTCTAATTTACATCNACTGCCCCCCCCCCCCCTCCGGCCGGGTATGAGGGAGCTCTAGGGGATGAGAATCATTCTTTTCCAAGTACCAACAACATTTAATACCTCGGCAGCTCAAAAAACGATGAGGTAAAGAATTATAAAAAAAACTTTCGAAAGAGCTTAGAAATCATTCACTAAAACTCTCGATGTAATTTACAATTTTTACAAAAAGCTGAGGAAGTTGGATGTTCGAACTACCGCTTCCCTTCGCGGTAGCATCTACATAGTTTTTGCGCATAATTATGTACCCCTTGTCTTGTCGTCGATGCCTTGCCAAGAGCAAGTCTCAGCTGCAAACTAGTGTCTCAAGTGATTTAGCGCTAAGACAACTCCGAAAAGTCAATCAAAATGTTACCGCTAACACCTACATGGCCAATGAATGATGGGAACATGATTCACTTCGTTTCCACCATTCGAGGACATCAAAATCATTTTAGTCAATAATCTTCATTGTAAGTGCATGGGCATCTTAGTACATCTCAAGTTCGGTATATGAATTTATTGTTGCATCACTTGCACTTGTAGAGGTAGGGGTACTTCTACATTTATTTTAACAAGTTTTTTTAGTTTTGCAAAAAATTCAATTCTTTTATGGTGAGCAAGAATCATATAATTAGTGTAGCTTCAAAGACCATGTAAAAATTTCCTCAAAAGGCTCACTACACATGGTCGCACATGCACTTTGCGCACATGATAAGAACAATAAAAATTCTCATTTTTCCTATTTTTGGCTCTCTTTCATCATCCAATACTTATGAGTTATTTATAGTCTATCTGAAAATAGCGTTAGAGATTAGCGTCAGCATTTTGAATAAAATTTAAACAGTGGAGATTACTTTGAAAACGCTAACAGTAAATACTGATCATGGATAGTCTTTTCAAAACGTTAACACTTATCTCTAACATTATTTTCAAACGAGTTCATATTATATTTTCAAATGCTTCTTCTCCAAATTATTTACAAAGTTTTAATTTTTAAAATATGCATGGTGCCGGTGGGCGTTGCGCAATTGGCAAGGCAAAGACTACCAAGGGGGTAAGACCCGAGTTCTTGGTAACTAATAGGAGACAACTATGTTAAGCATAGGGCCTCTGTAAGTACCAGGTGCAGGGTCGATTCTTTGCCGTGAATCTGCGATTAAAATCCAATTCACCTCCTTTTAGTAACCGTCCGACCGAGTGTGAGGGGACCGGGATAGGCTCATCCATTTTTAAAATATGCATGGAGTACACAAGTCGTTGGAATCCTCCTCCGTTATCAGCGTCAAGTCAAAAGTAATTTGTTATTTGTTGGTGCTAATGACAACATTTTGCTCCGGATTGAACGGGTCACTAATTGTCTTTCTTAATTTTTGGTCGTCGTTACAGGACTTGACCTTACATGGGACAAGTGTTAAATGAGACTTTAGAAATTGTCGGGGACCTCTGTTTAGGAATGAAATGAATTCTTTTTTGGTCGTTGCGTTGTGGGGTTGGTGTTTTTATTTCGAATAAATTATACCGAGTGCAAACACTAGGTAGTTCTCCATGGTTAAAATATGTTCATATTACCATTTATTCTTTGGTGTACATCCACGTCAATATACTTTTTTCATTTTACTCCTTTGTTCGTCATAAATCTTTTCAGACATTATTTACAAGGTCAAGCTTAACTCCTTTGTTTGCTTATTTTTACTACTCATTTCATAGAATAATATAGTGATATTAAAATTTATAATAAAAGTTTAATATATTATTTATATAAAACAATATTTTGCAAATATTTTAGAAAACGAATCTAACAAAATTATTTTTGTATTAATATGTAATACCACTTTTGTTTAATTTAAGTTCAAAGTTTACCAATTTTAACAGAAAAAATTCAAAAGTAGACATATACTCATAGACAGAAGGATTACTAATTAAAATCCTTATAAGTTTCAAAAAATTACTTTTGATAGAAAATCTTCCACCCAAAGAAGACGAAAAAAATGACACTATGTACTCATAACATTTTTCCTAAGAAAATACTAACAACTAAAACGAACTTGTAGAATTTCATAGCATGGGGAGCTCCTTATATGATATGTTGTGTTTCATGCATATCAGATGTGGGAAGCTCTAAGGACTCATTGCAGATCGCTAAAGCTAATTTATGTAAACTTACTTTCCATTGTTGATTGAACATTAAAATTGTTTTACTCATAAAAAAATGATCAATATGGAATGAGATTGAACTAAATTGTACCATTGACCAACTACGCTACACCTGCGATCTTCAACAATATGCTAGCATTTTGTAGAGATAGCCTAATTACAACATTTAAACTCCCTTACTTTAGGTTTAGAATACATTGCCATTAAATTTTAACGTTAACATTTTTAATGTTAATATACATCCTTAAAAATTATTTTCAAAGTTAGTAGTTAATACACACCCTAAAAGAATAACAAAAATACCAACACTAACCACTAAACAATGTCCTTTTATGTTTTATTTTTTAAAATCAAAATCATCTTATGACAATTAATTTACAATGTATCATAGATTGCCCGAAGGGTGTGCAAAGTGGACAACCGCATGTGGCTCCTAAAATTTTAAGATCCCATATTTTAAAATTTATCATTAATTTTGATTCATAAGTATTCTAAAATAATAAGATAGGGCCCAAGTGTATATTTCGGACAGGACCAATTTCATTTTTTTTTACAAATTTTTTTTCAAGATATAACATTGAATCAAAAACAAGAAGTACGATATATTGAGTGACGATTAGGTCAATGGATGATTACCACATGACACCTCAGATAATATTGTTAGAAGTGCATTTTGTGAATATTTATACGGAGTACCACTTTTAAACCCTAATAGAAATTTAAGAGTACAATCGCATGCAAACCAGAGTAAGGCCTGTTTGGAAAAAACATTTAAGATTAGCGTTAGTGTTTTTAAAAAAAATCTACTGGAAACATTTAGGTTAGCTTTTTCAAAGTAATCTGAACTGTTATAATTTTTCCAAAATGCTAACACTAATTTTCTAACACTATTCTCAAATAGGTTGTAAAAATAATCCAACTAAACATGTAAAGATTTTCAATAAATTGCTGTTTCCAACTAAACATGTGTTACATTTCCAACTATTCATTTCTGTTTTAGATACTTTCAAATTGCTACTTTTGGTTTTTGGACAATGCCCAACTCTAAGAAGATATTTGGCCAAAACTAATCCATCAAACCTATATAGGAATTGAGATTGGAAAGATATTCACTTAGCTACCATATCTTTTTTGGTATATAGGTATGATAAAGGCAAGCATGTGTTATGTTTTAATTTAATTTCAAACTGTTAGAATGGCTTTGACAATCATTTAACACAAACAGACATACCACTATACCAAATAGTCATAGCTGTGTTAAGTGAACACTTAAGAAACAAAATTTAAAAATGTGACATATTTCTAGGAAGCCATTCCACTTCAAAATTCTCTTTCAAGTTCATAGATAACTAATTTAAGATTTGTAAAAAAATTCAATTGTGGGAGAGGATAATTGTTTGAACTACAAAGATTTCACTATAAACAACATGCCTCTCAACAAGTTAAATAGTTGTCACATAATCAAATAAAGTAAGAGGTGAACACAGTCCGAGACATTTAGGTACATTGAAGTCATACCATTCCATTACTGTTCAAATTGTACCAAGACATTTCAAAATTCAAAATAGGAACCATACCTGGCAATGCCAGAGAGGATGAAACATTTGTCACAAAAACACATTGGATGGTTCCATAAGTCGAACATTTGTTAACTAAGTGACATTCTATACCCAATTAGACTATCATTTAGATCTTCAAGACATTTCTATATTATCAATTAAACACCAAATGCTAACTTTGATATAGGGTAGGTTTGGTTGGCAAACTCTCTTTCATTTTCCTGCCATTGTAGGAAGCACACAGTTGGTAATGGAAGAAGCTAATGAAGACATCAGATACGATACAAAGCAAATGTATCAGCAATTTTAGAATGAACACAAAATTAAAGCACATGAAAAGCTTCTAATACCAAAAACAATTCAACAATTGTCGATTACCAGCACGATAATAAGCAAGGAGAGTGTACTAAAAACTGAATAGTAAAACATACCAAGTTTTTTAGAACAGAGAAATCAAAACTTTAACAGACGGCTTACTGAAAGAGATGACACAGCCATATAGGGTTTGAGGAGAAGTGAATCCAGATCGGAAATTAACGGTACGATTTCTGGAACCTGGCGCGAGCGCCACGACCGCCGAACTTCTTCGGCTCGCAGCGCCTTGGATCGGCGACGAGCAAGGTCCGGTCATAGCGAACAAGGATGTCCTTGATCTCCTTCTTCGATTGCTCATCCACGTACTTCTGGTGGTAGGCTACGAGGGCCTTGGCGATGGATTGACGGATGGCGTAGATCTGAGAGGTGTGACCGCCTCCCTTGACGCGGATGCGCATGTCAACGCCGGCGAATCGATGGCGGCCCAAGAGGAGGATCGGCTCGCAGGCCTTGAAGCGGAGGATCTCCGGCTGGATCAGCTCGATCGGGACGCCGTTGATCTTGATGAGTCCGCGGCCGCGCTTGCAGTGGGTGACGGCAACCGCCGTCTTCTTGCGCCCGAAGCATTGGACGGAATCTACCGCCGTCGTCGCCATGTTTACCTGTTCACCTTGGCTGCGGGCGGATTCTGAGAGTCGGAAATTCTAGGGCGAAAATGGCTTCTGAGGAACAATTTATGGGGTTAGGGTTTTGGGTACGAAGTGGGTGATGAAATGTTCAGAGACTTACCCAAATTTTGGGCCATATAACTCTTTCGGGCTCAAGTTAAATTAAAGGTAGCTCTGTAAGACATCCCATATATAGGCCCATCTCAAATAAACCCATTATTATATTTCGAATACGAACTGTCATTTTTATGGTTGATGTTGTTTAATTGAATTAACTTTCAAATGATTTTATGTTTAAATCTCATTTGTACATAAATTTATCATTTCATATATATCCTACATTTCACATCATACCTCTTTGTCAATTGTAATTAATCAAGTTTCATCGAGTTTTGCCACAACACATGGCCAACCATACCTGATCTAAAAGGTATTTTCTAAAAGTCCGATTATTTTTTCCCCCAAATTTGGTGGGCCGGTCCTACTTAAAATATTTTCTTTATTAGATTCATAATTTAATTCTCAGATTTTGTATGAATACGATGCCGAGTTCATCGGGTCGATACCCGAAAATAGCAAAATCCATCACATTCGCATGGAGTAATTTATTTCTAATCAAGGACTAGCTAGCTAAGAAGAGCAATTGTCTTCAAGCATTCTTCCATTTCTTCCTCCCCCAACTCAAACCCTTCATCTTCTTCTTCATTTGTACTGTTCTTCCCCGCCTCCATCTTCCCGGCGGCATTCTTATTGTCCTCTTCATGCAATGACTGCGCCGGCTGTTCTGCTGGATGGGAGCTTTTCGTCGGCATATAATCCGTGAGCTCATAATTGAGCTTGGCCTGTGGGCCCTGGAACTCGATGGCGGCTCGATCGTAAGCTCGAGCCGCCTCCTCGGCGGTCTTGAATGTTCCGAGCCACACTTTACCCAACCTTCGCGGGACCCATATCTCCGCCACCCACTTCCCCCGCGGCCTCAGTCTCACTCCCTTGAACTTCTTCTTCTTCTTCGTCTTCTTCATCTTCTTCTTCATTTTCTTCTTAGGGGAAATAATGTCACTTGGCTCTCCGAAGAAGTTGCAGCCCAAGCAGCCGGATATCATGCAAACCCCACACGTGTAACCTTCCGGTAAGCTCAGCAGCGGCTCCCCTGCCGGAGGAGGGGCCTCTGTTTCTCCGGCGGCGGAGAACGCCGCCGGAGGAGATAACAATGAAGACGATGAACAAATGCTGTAATTTCCGTTGATGATGACATTCTTCAAGGCGGAGACCACGACGGCGCACTCCTGCTCGAAGGTGAGCGGCGGCGGCGCGTGCTGATTTTGTTCGCCGGAGATTCCCTGATCGAGTCGCCTCGCCATTAGATTCTGCATTGCCGAGACTTCTTTTCTTTTTGTTTTGTTTATGTTGTCTGCAAATAAAATCTGGAGAATTGGACTGGTGAAGTCAAAGGTCGGGCGCATATTTAAAGAAGAGGGTGCCTACGTGGCAGTACTTGTCTCGACTGGTCAACACTCGCCGGGAGCTGTCACCAAGGCTGAAACAGCAATTTGCGGTTTCGTGTCCCGGTACTCGCTGTATTTTCCGACTAAAATGATACCGAGTACGGACAATCAAATCAAATTTGAAATGTTTCTACCCTCCTCGTATCAAATTAAGGAGTATAAATTTACTATTCACAAAATTAAACTTTATGTATTTTTTTTTGTCAAATTGCTTCTGCGCCTATTGTGATTTAGAAAGTTGGCAACAATACTTCCTCCATCTTCAAAATTTATTTCTAAAGTGTTCGTTGTTTCAAAACGCTACATTTATACTTCTTTAACCATTTTTTGCTCTACTTCCAGCGAAGAGAGCGCATTGAAATCTAATTTTTAAACCATAAGAGGCACTCATGCTCATTTATTTTGTTTCGTTTACCATTTGTTTTTTTTTCTCTTTTTTGACTTTCTTTATCTTTTATTTCCTTTCCTAAAAAAGTTTTTTTAAGTTTCTTTTCAATTTAGTTTAGTGTTTTAAAAAAATCAAATTTCTTTGAGTTCAACACAAAAATAAAAATTAAAAAATTAACATAAATTCCATATATCTCAAATTAAACATTTTTAATTTTTGTTTTTAGGATAAGTATTTTGGTAACTTAAAATGGAAAATCTAGAACAAAACATATAAATAAAAAATATGGGAAAATGATATGAAAAAAATTGAAACATACAAAAAGAGTCTTATACAAAAATGAATTTTCAGAAATCCTAAAAAATTCTTTAGAATTTGGATTTACAAAAAAGGATACTCATTTTTATTTTTGTATTAATTTATTTCTTATTTTCTTCCTTATTAAAAAAAGGTTTTTACTTTTTATTTGAGAAAACAACAAATAAAAATGATTAATTTGAGACGTACAGATGCAACATATGTTAATTATTTTTCAAACAAATTTAATTTACATTTTAAGAACATTCAAAAAATAATTTTAAAAAGAAATTTAAAAAACATTGATTAATAAATGAAACAAATAAAGATAAGGAAAAAATGAACGAAAAATTAGAAATTAGTATCAGTGCCCACTATGGTTTAGAAAATAGACACCAATGCTTCCTTCTTTTGGCGAAAAAGTGGACGAAAAATGGTCAGAGAGAGTATGAGTGCAACATTTTAAAACCAATGAGACTTTAGAAATAAGTTTTCAAAATATGGGGGTATTGGGGCGTATTTTTCAACCCACGAGAGGTACCGGTGCTTCTTGGACCTTTTTCATATTTTCAGTACTTATTTGATAAAAATAATATAGTGACGTCATCTCTTGTTCCATAGTGCTTTTGATGTAATATTTTAATATATAATTTCTTGTGTTACACTCCAATTTTTTAATAAATTGCAATGAAGATACCTTCACTAAAACATTTTCATGTCATCTCTTGTTTCAAAAGAGTGGGATACTCTTTAGAAAATAGGATCATTGATGTAATATTTTTTGAATTGAATATATACTAAATATGGAATTTTTTTGTTATTATGGACCATCTATGAAATTTATTTTTTTAAATATATAAGTTATATTTTTTATTTCAATACAAATTTGTAAATAAAATGATTTTAAAGAGAAGTCATATGTACCTAAATAAATTTTGAGTTACATTAATGATGTTTAACTAAAATTATTTTAGTTCAACATTTTTTAAAATTGATGAGATTTTAAAAAATAAATTTATTAATTTTAAAATTTCTACTCACTATGACATAAGAGGTGACAAGAAGAAATGATTAACAAAAATGGATAAAAAATACTTCATCTGCCCAAAAAAATACCCTCTCTTTTCGTGAGAGATTTTTTCACTAAACTTTTTTTTTATAGAAGTTTGTACATTTTTAACTTGATATGTGATAAAATACATTGTGTTTAGATATAAAGGTTATATAAGTAGTTTTTTAAAGTGGTCTGAAATATTAATTTTTTATGAAATATATTCCATGGGAAATAAACTCCCCCTTAGTGGGCCTTTAGAATGGACTGATGACAGGAGGCCCATGAGCATTGATGGAGAATAAACTCTCAATGGTGGGCCTTTAAAAATGGACCCGGGGCAGAAGGCCCATGAGTGTGCTTTTAAAATGGATCTAGGGTAGGGGGCATGAGAGCAAGTTCATGTCCTAACCTAAAAGAAGTTTCGAGATCCTCCCGCATTGGGAGACGAGCATGAAGCGTAAAGGACCGGTCGAGCTGCTAGCGATACAAGTCAAGAAGGGCGCTACGTGGTTGACGAAACAATAGATCCCACTACCATAATTGTCTCAATTACCATAAATCTCAATATTACTCCATTACTTGTTAGACAATGTGTGCAACTTTAGATGGAGGTGAATAAAGTTATTGAGAACGTTTATCGTTTTTCGCGGCGTGAGTGTGTAAATAAAAATAAATGAATATGCAGCGGAAATAAAAGAAAGAAGGCAAATAACACAACAATGTATACTGGTTCATCACCTCATGGCTAGTCTAGTTTCCCGAGAGACTCTCTTAAAGCTACCACTATTTATCAAGCTTCAACAGGTGCTTGACAAACCGTTTACAACCCGAGAACTTGAATCCCACAAGTCCAATATATCTAATATTTCTTGGATGGCAATTGATTAATTATTTATGCTCGTTATTAAGCATAAGGAACATACATACACACACACACACACATATATATATATATATAATTTTACCAAAATATATATCAAACAGCTAACTTTACAGAATATTTTTAATGATCAGCCAACACAACTAATTGATCAAAGCAGCTAAACTAATTACGGAGTATTCAAAACAGCTGACACAAAGAGTCAAGGGTGAGAATCAATATCCAAACAAGGCCAAAATTAGGGGCTGTTTGGCAACTTCTGAATAGGGAAGTGCTGAACCAGTAAGAGGTCTGAACCATTAAGTGCTGAATCAGTAGAGGTCTGAACCATTAAGAGCTAGTATATTGTTTAATAGAAATCATCCTAAATAGGACTAAAACATAGAGAAAAGTACCAAATTACTATATTTTTTTGGTAATGTATATGACCATGTTTGGTAATGTAAGTCCTATTTCGGGAATAAAAACATGGAAGTCCTATTTTGGTATATTCTCAATGTTTTAGTCCTAGTTTGGTCTTTCTCCCATTGCTTAACTATTCAGAGGCAAATGTCTGATCAATTCGAATAAGAGGTCTTAATCATTCAGACTCTGTATAATACTTAACCATTCAGAGGCAAATGTCTGAACCATTCAAACATCTAAATCATTAAGAGGCTGAAACAAACCGCCCTTACTCATTAATTTTTGGGTGGGAGTTGAAAAGGTATAAAGAGGATTTATATCGGGACCCGAAGCAGTAGTATCTAGGATGGTGGGACCAATCGCCTCAAATATCTGACCCCAGTTACCCACCTTTCGCAGGAAACTGCTCCGTCGTCACTTCGCCGTCTTCTTTTCATCTCTGAGTGAGATCGCGATCTGTATATTTTCCGACCGGTGCGGCTGCCGCGCATTTTGGTACTGCACATATAATTCAACTGCGGGCATACAGAAACCGTAGCTACACACCAAACGGGGCGAGGAATGGCTTAATTGCTGATTCCGGATAATACGATCATCACTTGCAAGCAATTCTCAGGTTTCCTCCCGAACCGTTCTGATGATCTGTTTATTCCATATCGTTCCCTTTGATTGCATATGAGCTTACATGAAATTGCCTGTTTTTGAACTTAAATACTGTAATTTCACGCACGATTCCCGATCGGTTTAGGTTTTCATAGATTTTGCAATATCGTTTCTGTTGAGTATTTTGAATTTGTTGATTTGATGTGGCTTTTCTAAAATGTACCAGTATAAAATATTTCTAGGGGACGTCAAACATTTTACTCTGAAAATTTTTCGGAGTCCTTTCTTCGCTGCCCAGAGCTGCTTCTGTTCATGTTGAGCCTTGGTAATACTCCAACGTCCAATTGCTCTTATTGCATCCCAACAATTCATGAGATAGTCTTTTTGAGAATGTATGAAACTTTCTTGGGTACATTAATGCGAAATTAGATTGAATTTGGGATTGAATACAACTTGCTGCAGTTGGAAACCAGGAGTTTTAAGTGGCAAAAATGCAAAGGAGTAATAGTTTGGATTCAGTTCCTGAGGACATTGATCTTAATCATGGATCTCCATCCAGTAACACTTACATGGATTCTGATCAAGGTGAGTCTAGCTCAACTCTAAATTCAAATCATCAGGATTTTGGCAGTGATCCAAATCCAGGACATGGTTGGTCATCTTCATCGAGCAATTACAGGGTCGCTGATGACACTGCTTCATGGTTAGAAGAAAGGAGAGCCGAGCCTTCTAGCGATTATTCTAATGAAAGAAGTAGCAGCAGTTATGCTGGCAACTTTTCAATTGATAGGCCTAGAATGATGTATCCCTTTAGTTCGAATCATAGCTCTGGATATGCTAATTTAAGTGGTATGAACCACTATGGTGATGATCTGCATCCAAGCCTTCACAACCCAGGGGGATCTGGAATGGGGATGATCTCAGCTTTTGGTGTTCCTTCAAATAATTCAAGAACCTCATACAGTTCTGATTATTTGATGGGAAATAATAATGATTCAGAATCCTCTTTGGGTATGTGGGGTCCTTCTTGTAAGCGGAAAGGCTTTGGAAGTTCGAGCTCCAACCCACAAGCTGATGACATGGCACAACATAATATTTCTGCTTCTAGACGCTCTGATGCACTTTCATCCTCTCGTGTTGGTTTCATGGAACAAGTCGGTTCAAGAAATGAGGTTCGTGCAAATAATCCCACAAGGAATTCTGGCATTAGGGATGACAACACAGGGAATCGGCAGTCAGTTTTGTCCGGCTTACGACACAGAGCAAATTATATGGGGCATTCTAATGAGAGCTCAAGTTATGTCCCACATAGATCTCCCTCTTTTCTTAGTTATGGGGAATCAATATCTAGTCCAAATCTGCCAGAAACCAGTCATCCTCCTGCAAACCAAACACGGTCAATGTATGCTCCATTGAATGGTTGTCAAGATGCACGAAGTGGCAGTCATTCTAGAAGCTCCTTTGGAAATAATCAGAGGGCTCGAAGATTTCCCCATTCTACTGAGTCACGGGTTTCTTTGCAGGGTGGTGCTAGTTCTAGTCAACATACCCACCTTGCGAGACAGATGAGGGTTAATCAGAATCAAATTACATGCAACAGCCAAAGAATGCCAGAATCTTCATGTTGGAGTCCTTTTGCACCATCAGAATATGATACAGGAGGTCAGAGAGGTCATCTTTCACCACTACATTCTGCAACTTCGTCTACAGGGGAGCCTGTGACATCCCTATTTAGTACCAGAAGGGGTAATCATCAACCATTTCTACGGTCAACTGTGATGGCAGAGGACGCCCCAGGTGATGATCACAACGGCCAGCCTGCTTTAGTTGCTGGTTTTGAAGGAAGACACAGGATGGCATCTGAGGTTTGCTTTATAGCATCTTTTTATTTTGTGTTGTATCATTGTTATTACGGAGTATTAAAGTACGGAGTTTTTGTTTTTATTTTGTTTGCATGTTCTCTTTACTTCAGTGTGTGTGTGTGTTGCTTTTGTGAAGAGAGGATCTTTCTTTCTTACCCTATGAGACATTGCAAAGTTTATTTAGAACTTACCCCGGAGTATATTATTTGATTGTAGCGTAATTAACATGGTTTTAAAAAATAATTTGTGAAATTTACTTTCTTCATTCCAAAATTGCATGTCAGAGACATTTTCTCATAGCTTGTTGCTCCATGTCTTTGTTTTGTGTATTGTTTTGATTCCAAATGCTTTAACAATTTTCTTGTAATCAGTTTGAGCATAGGACATCCTTTTACTTAAAATCATGGGACATTCTATATTTCTACTCTTTTTTTTGCTTCTTTTTGTGTGATTTGCAATTTTATGAAATTTGTGGCTTATCATGATTTTGGATTCTTGTTGTCTATATATGCTTGCAAAGATATAAGGCATAGCAAGATTTAGTACACTAGGAGCTTTCTTGGTAAAAGTTGAGGTATTGTACTGTATTTGTCTCTTGCTAAAAAGTTTAATACTCCGTATCAATTTAATGCATTTGTTGGTACAGATATGCCAAGTGCTTAATACTATGCAAGGGAATGGGAACTTCCGGGCTGAGGTTTGATTTTTTTCATCTGTATTTCAAATATATAAATTATGCCTTAGCTTAACTATGGATAATGGATGTGCCCCTATTCATATTCGCATGGCTTCAAAGACACTAGACATGTTTTTTTATGTATTCCTTTAAACTGCTATATCAAAAACCATTCCTTGCGAGGCACATGAGATATTCAAGGAAAAGCGAGGAATTTCTGTCTCATTTCCAACCTAGCCAAATTTGACAATATTGCCGCTTTGTACACACTATGGATCAAAATATATTTCCCCTCTCTATCAAGATGATTTTTGGCCACATATGGCATCCCATTGTTTGGTACATATTCCAGACATTACAAGAACAACCACAACAAAAACAAAAACAACGACCAAAACAAACCCGGTAAAATCCCACAAAAGTAGGTATTGGGAAGACAGCGTGAACGTATATGTTACGCCTACTTAGAAATTTAGATGCTGTTTCCATATTGTTTGTAATGTCAATTGCTGTTTATTTTGCTCTTTATTTGAATTGACACATGAATTGTGTTACTGTTACTTGTCCCTTGCATATGTACATTATTAAACTGACAATAAACCTCAGGATTTTGCAATGTTCGATCAATTTGTTAGTGGAGTTGCTCAGTTACATGATAGCCATAGAGATATGAGGCTTGATGTGGACCACATGTCTTATGAGGTGACACACTCCACTTTCTTTTTCATTTGTCGTGGGCTCGTGGCCTTTAAGTTGTTTTATAATGATATATTTCACTATGCATAAACTTTCTATCTACCTAAACATACTTAACCATAGAAGTGCTTTTGAAATGAAGTCTGTTTTGCAAGTTTTAGTCAAGAACACTTAGTGATTTGTAAAAATGTTATCCTGCCTTCTTACATCAAAATCACTTCCTAAAACAGCTTTCTAACTAAAGCACATTCAAACGAGACCTTAATTTCTAGGCATATGCTTACTAAAGACTCGATATGGTTTATCAGGAGCTCTTGGCATTGGAAGAACGCATAGGGAATGTGAGCACAGGTTTGAATGAGGAAACCATTTTTAGATCCATGAAACGACAGAAATATGTAAGCTTATTCGGACAAGGCCTTTCGCCAAATTTGGAGCCGTGCTGTATCTGTCAGGTGAGATTCATGACTCATATCCACATTACCGAAAGAAGGCTTAGCTTTTCTATTACTTCTATCTACATATGATAAATAATGATAATCGAGTTGCTAATATTCCTCATCTCTCTCTCTCATTCTCTCTTTCTCACTGTCTATCAGGAGGCATATGCGACTGCAGATGACATTGGCACATTACAGTGTGGACATCAGTTCCATACAAATTGCATTAAACAGTGGTTGATACTTAAGAATCTGTGCCCCATCTGTAAGACCACAGCCTTGAAAACTTGAAACTAGCCTAGTCCCCCCCCCTCCAAAAAAATCTATGCCATTTAAAGGTCGTACGGTGTTCTAGTTGACCCCGAAGTGTTTCCTACCCCTCTAACCTCCACACAAAAACCACCAACTAGCCCCTTGTTTTTCAGATGTGCTATAATATTTACTGTAGCATATCGGTGAAACAAGGGGGCGGTGGGTGGACTGAGGAATTACTTTGGAGTCGAGCAGAGCATCGGGCCCTCAAATCGTCCGGTGTAAGATTATGACACCTATATGATGGGTTCCAAAAGAATCGATCGAGCTCATCATAATATTCCCTACTTAAAGATATACTACGTACATAGTAATTTGTTAAGCTATGTGAAACCATTTTTGCTTGTTCTGGTGATCATTGAGGAGATTGTTTTTAGATTTTAGCATTTGCTTTTATTCAGTATTTGCTTGAATCTGTACCCATTTCTTTAAGGCCACAACATGTATAATGTAGAAAGAAATCAAAGAATCTGTTTTATGTTGATATTAGTCAAAGTGGCATATCAAATCTCTTTTGATTCTTCTTTTTTTGACTTCGTTAAAATTCTGCGCAGTCAATATGTAACGGAAATTAAATTAGACTATTTCTTACCTACATAGGTAAAGTTTCGTGTGTCTCGACTCTTTGACCCCAACTAAGTTGAGCTCTTACATAGTTTTTTTTTTGTTGTGTATCACTTAGTATGGTTGTTCAAGTTTAAGTCCGGATTGAAAAAGCCAATCCAACCGGACCGTTAGGTCCAGACTGAACCCGAACCGGATGAATTTCGGTTCGGTCTTCGGTCCCAAAAATTTAGATATATGAATTTTGGTCTGGTCATTGTTCAAACTTGAAATGGTTTAAGTCCGGACCAATTGAACTGAATGTATCTATAACCCAATTTGACCTAAAATACTTATATCTAAAACTCTACTTTTTATGTTCTGTATTATTATTTGATGCTCTATTTTAATATATATCTTAATTTAAAATAATTAAAAGATTTTTTATTAAGTAATTTTAAAAGAAAATCAAAAAAAAAGCTTTACATTAGTTTTTATGATTTTACATAGAAGTAGATGCTATGTTGTGATATAGAGAGTATGCTTATTGTTTCAAAATAAATTTTACATACAGTATATTTCTTTTCATTCTTTTAAAATAAACTTGGCATCTTTTTTATTTCCTTTTAAAAGAAGTGACATTAATATTGCGCTTTTTTTTAAATAAAAAAATCGATCTTACATTTTTTTGGGGAGGGGTAATATTTGTGGCGTGCGCAGGGATTACTGCGGTAGTACATAGTACTTTATGCTTGCATGCATGCAACTCACTGCCATGCGCTAAAGTTTGACTTTTTTATTCGCAAACATAAATGTCATCTTGAGGTCCCTTGGAACAAGCTGGATAATTACTTGAGAAATGATAAATTAAAATAAGATAACATTTGCTAATAAAAAATGAAGCATGTAGTTGATATTTGTAGAGGTACGTACATACTTACTAATTGAGGAAGCTGCAATGAATTTTTTTGTTGGGTCCGCTTTAAAGGAGTTTTACTCTTCGACAAGCCAATTTTCGTGTGTTTGGATGGGCAGGGGAGAAACACGCTTTTGTAGACCTTACAATCTTACATGTGTGTCTCCTCTTGTTGGACTCAGGTATATATAGTGAAATTTGCACTAAATAAAACTAAAATATAATGACTTTTCTAATGTAGGACTTAAACTTTTTTATTTCCAAATAGGACTTAATAATGACCTAGTGGAATGAATAATGTCCAGTAATGATGGACATTTGGTTGAATAATGACTACTTGATAATGACCAAAGGTCCTACATTGAGAAATAAAAACATATGGTCATATATTGGGAAAGTCATTATGTTTAAATCCTATTTAGGTAAATTTCTCGTATATATAATATATTTATTGTCCACGATGCAGTTTTGGAGGCGTAATCAGGCAAGTGGAGAAACACGAGAAAACTTGCTCGCAAAATTAGATCGATTAGGTCTTTGAATTCATAATTCTCGGCAGATGTTGTTGCGAATTTTGATTGAGATTATTTCTATTTAATTTATTGAAACTAGTGTCGAGTAAAAAATAAACTTTATATATTTAAAAATTATATAAAAAATTTTATAAAATAAAATATGCTATGAATTTGTTATCAAACCAATACTGTGTAACAAAATTAAATAAAACATTAAAGTTTGAGCATAGAATAACAAAAACCGAGGAAATAATGGAGTTGAAATTAAACTTGAAAGAAATATACTCCTTCCAGTCAAAATTTATCTTCCCGTTAGGTGTTATAATGTTTGATAAAGTTAATTTTAAGTCATTTTAATTTGTATATAAAAATGGTATGAAATTAGAAAATAAAAATTATATATTTAAAAATTTCATAAAAAAGATTCAAAACTAGACGTGAATATATATTTAAGAAATAGATAACAAAAATAGGTCAACAAAATAGATAAAGCTTGATCCAGTAAATAATGATCGAGAAAATATATTCTAACAATTCATGAAAAAGTACTCCGTATTTTCATATTACAAGATATTCATACATATGGGTATACAACTACAAATAATTAGAGAATGCAATGAAAAATATTTTCAAACGAAAGAGTTAACGCACAAATAAACACAATGAACAAATAAATTGCTTCCTTTTTTTTTTGTTGTCCTTAATTTTGGAATTCTTACATTGAAATCGAGTATAAAAAAGACCCAAAAAAAAACAAGAGATCTATGGCTAAACGACGACGTTGCAGTAAACAAAATCATCCGAATTATTCGCAGTGAAATTATCCCGAAGTGGCCAACAATCGCGAAGCAGTTTCAACAGCGTTTGGGCTTTCCGTTTAGCTCGCTCTGTGCATCCGCTCTGGACGAGAAGCAGCAACTGCGTCAACACGCCGGCGGCGACGGCGTCTCAGAGCGCTTGATCGGAGGTGGAGCACAGGGAGAGCAAGGCTCCCGCCGCGTACTCCGTCGCTCGCTCGGATATTTTCAGGATTATCTTTACGAGGATCGGGACCGTCAACGTGCTGGCTGCGAACGCCGCGCTTCCTGACGGAATCCGGCAGAGAAGCTCCACGGTGGCCAGAGCTCTCTCGGCGTCGCACTTCTCGAGATACTGAAAACTGTTGATCAACGACTCCGTGGCTCCGGCTGCAATCGCTTTTTCCCGGTGCTGTTTGGCCAAACACAGGGAGAACAAGGCCTTGATTCCGACTTTCAATGCTCTCGGATGCGCCGGAGGAGAGTTTATAATTCCGACTATTCCTGTGAAGATCTCGTCGACGTTTCCGATCTGAGATCGTAGCTCCGGCGATTTCGTTCCGGAAAGGACGGACTCTATCACCGCAGCTGAGTTAACTCGGACGTCGATGGAAGCGTGAGAGAGCATGGACACTAGGAACCGAACTCGGTCTGGATCGGAGGCAACGAAGAGGGACTCGGCCTCGGAGAGCTGGAACATCGAGAGAATGCAGAGCGCCTCTTGAGTTAACTCGGACGAGTTCACATCCATGTTCGAGAACACGATCGCAAGCATAACCTCCGGCGCGTTATTCGCGGAAATAACGGAGCGGTTGTTATCCGAGTCGCGAGCGAGTCCCCTGAGTCTCCTCAGTGCAGAAATTCTGGACTTCAAATTACCGGACCCGGACAAGGCCTGGCCCAACAAGGACTGGACCAATCCCGGCTCGGCCGGCTGCTTCGGCGTGGGAATCCGCTCAACGCCAAAAGCCCGGTTCGCGACGCACCAATCCTGAATGAGCCGCCGGAGAGTGTGGTTCGGTATGAGACTAAACTCCTTCAGCGGCGCCCGCGTGACGGGACACGTCGTGTTCCCGGTGGCCACCCACGATTCAATGCTTTCCCTGTCGTACGTCTGACCGGTACAAACGGTCACCGGATCCCGCATGAGCTCCAGCGAGATGGGACACCGGAAGTAGTAAGGGATCTGAATCCCCGCCATATCCAACGGCTCTAAGCTCGCCGGCATTCTCTTCTTCACTTGATCACTTCCTTTTCTCAATTACTTTCTCTGTATATTTCTAATCTGGGTGTTGTTTGGCTGTATGCTAGACGTTAACAAGAGAGAAGAAAGTGATAGGCGGGGGGCGAGGAAAAACAGAGAGACAAACCAAACAGAGCTTTGGAGGGAGGGCGATTTTCTCTTCTCTGAGTTTCTGTTGATAATGTTGGCTTAAATGTAATTCGGTTCTGACAATTTTGCAGTGGCTGCCCCACACGTGCGCGTGGTAATTCCTCTAACCCCACTCCTCCGGTTAAGCTTAACCGTAGTTAGTTAGATGGGTGGATGAAGAGCGAAGGACAAGTTGGTCATGTGGCGGTCAAAGCTAATGTTCCATTGGAGATAAAGGTTAGCTAGGACCCACTGCCTCCTTTTGTCTAATTTGTTTAAATATACTCTTCCACACAAAATTATTGTTAATTAATTACTCCGTTTGTTTGAAAATGTTTTTATAATTTAGTAAAATAAAATGGAACTCTAAAGCTCTGTTTATTACATGAAATTCAAGCTATAAAATTGTAATTGAGGACAACTATTTTAATTTTACTTTTTTGTAGCAGACAAATATGTGGATTTGGAATTGGTAGTGCAAAAAATGAATTAGAATTGGAGAATTGAATTTCATCCAAATCAATTCCATAGAATCTCAATTCTCAATTCAATTCTAATTCCACCAATTTCGTGCACTAAACGGACCTTCAATTAAATTCCGTCAATTCCTTCAATTAAAATAACAAGTGACAAAATTTTTGAAAAATAATTTATCATGCATATTGTGCATGCCCTCACGCAACCCTCCCGTGGTCATCTATTGTTTCTTGTTTCGCGTATGTTAAGTCTAGAGTGTTGAAATGAGTAATATCCCACTTTAATTATTGATAACAAATAACAATGATACCCTATATATAAAAAAGGATGCTAATTATTTAGAAAAGAAGAAAACTAGACTAATATATAAGAATACTCCGTATATATTGATTACTTGCAACCACAAGGGTCTATTTCAGGCACAGAGAAGAAAAAATAACGAACAAAGTGCAATTACTTTTGAAAGGATATGCCCATAAATGGGACAGGTATTTGATGAATTATGATATGATACGATCCCAGTAATCTTTTCTCTTTTTCTTTTTCTTTTTTATTTTTTGAAAAGAAGAAAAAATTCCCATTTGAACACGTACACACTCACATGCTTCAAATAAAATTTATCATGACGTGACTGCACTTTAATCGCTGGATGCATGGAACGAGAATTTGACCACAATAGTGCAAAGCCATTTCCTTTTCAATAAAAAAGAAAAGGGAGGTGTAGTCCAACATCATGCAGACAAATTTTCAAAATTGCATCATTTTTAAAGACGAAATTCGATTCCATAAATCCACTCCCTATATTCTTAATTACTACTTCCTCCCTCCTACCAAAAAAACCATAAGAAAAATCTTTTCA